GAAAAATTGTAAAGCTCTTATGCGCAAACATGTGAATATATTTAACACTGCTGAATGCTAAAAACGGTTAAGACAGTAAAAGTGACTTACCACAACTTTAAAAAAATAAAAATAATCAAAAAGAGAAAGCTGATTCAAAAAAGGGAGAAGTGGCCAACTAAGTTGAGTGCTGCCGAGAGACCAAGCAAGAAGAGAACAGAGTTAACGTACAGATTTTTAAAGATGGCGATCATTGGTGACCTCTACACACCTGGTTGCAACAGTATGGCAGGGAAAACCAGACTGAGACAGAACTACAAGGTTAGAAAGTGGAGACAGCCCAAGTGGACATTTCTCAGGAGAAGGTTAGCAAGGAGTAAGACTTGGGGCAGAGTCAGTAGGAACTAAGGTATTCGTTTTGTTTTGTTTGAAGAGGAAGCTATTTGAACATATTTGAATGCATGATGCCTTGTACAGGGAAAGATTGATGAGGCAGGGAATAAAAAGTCTTAAGGAATGCTGCCCTTGGGAAGTGTGAGGAGAAGGGGACAGCTTCTGGGAAGGGACAAGTTTTGACAGGAAGACAGACAGTTCCTCTAAGAGGACAGGAGGAATGCATGCAGGTGGGTATGTGGGTTTGAAGGTGAGAGTGGATAGAGTTTACATCAGATGGTTTCTATTTTCTCTTCAAAATGTCAGGTGACCTTGATAATGTGAGGGGTGGGGAGAAGTTCTATCAGCACTTTGAAGAGATCAAATGTATGTCATTAGTCATCCAGGATTGTGGAAAAACGAGCCTGACAGTGAATCAGAATCACAGGAGGATTGCCCAACTGCATGGCGGGCTTTGGAATTCTGTATTCATTATTTTAAAGACAAACAACCATGTTTCATGTTGGTCTAATCTAAGAGGAACCTCTGAAACTGGGACACATTGTACTGTTGTCCCATAGTTTTCTGGCATTGTTTCAGTTTAATTGTCAGCATTGTTTTTTCTTAGTGGTCCATAAAACAATGGGCATTTTATACTCTGTGGCATCTCAGAGTCAGTGAAATATGGTCATTTTATTTTTGCCAAGTTCAGCCACTCGTGTGAAGACATGGAGAAGGCATTTTCTTCAGGGTTAGCTTTAAAAAACAAGATGACTAGATAGCAGCTCCACGATAGCTGTCTATCACAAAAGCCTATTTGAGCCCACTCACATTTAATGTAATTCCAACCTCATTATAAGCACTGTCTCCTGAGGTGATCAGCTCTATATTACTGGAAGTGTTTCATCTGGAAGTTTAGTCTACAAGGCCAACTTCTATCTTTTGCCAGTTTAAGACTCTATCATAAAATTGTCTTAGAAGCTCAACTCTCATGAAACAACAGTTCAGAATTCCTTGGCCTAGATGTCCAGTATTAGATGCTCAGAAGTTATATTTTAAGTAGAAAGGTGGTTATAAAGAAGGGATCCAGAGAGCATGTGTATCCATTTACCTACTATATGCCCACCCAAATGTTAGGTTTGGGGGAAATAAAATAATAAAAGCTGGGTCTCTGACATATAAAAGCTCACAGTCTATTGTGAGACGGACAAGAAACAGAGAGTTGTCACCAGAGGTATTCATTCTTCTAAGTCCTTGTGTAGCACATGTTTATTGAGCTCCTACAAAGTGTCAGCCACTGTTCCAGGTCCTGGAAATACAGCAGTAATGAAATTGACTAGGTTCCTGCCCCCATAATCCTTGCCGAATAAAATTAATAACATTGCCAAGCATGATTATTTTGACTAGTTACATAGATAAAAAGTAAGAGAAAACTATTGGGGTGCTGCTATTGACAAGGTGGTGTTAGGAGTATCAATTAAGGTACTTTGGTCACAAGTAATAGAAGACCTCACCATGGCCGAAGTCTTAAGAGCATTATTTTTTTTAAAGGCCAGAGGTTCTTGATCCCAGAGTGGGTTTACCAATGTAGTGGTGTCAATGGAATAAAATTAATAACATTGCCAAGCACGATTATTTTGACCAGTTACATAGATAAAAAGTAAGAGAGAACTACTGGGATGCTTCTATTGACAAGATGGTGTTAGGAGTATCAGTTAAGGTACTTTGGTCACAAGTAATAGAAGACCTCACCATGGCCGAAGTCTTAAGTGCACTATTGTTTTTAAAGCCCAGAGGTTCTTGATCCCAGAGTTTGTTTACCAATGTAGTGGTGTCATTAAGGACCAAGGCTTTTGCATCCTCCTATTCCCCTACCCCAGCCGTGGGTAAACTACGGCCCGCGGGCCGGATCCGGCCCATTTGAAATGAATAAAACTAAAAAAAAAAAAAAAATAGTGGTGTCATTAAGGACCAAGGCTTTTGCATCCTCCTATTCCCCTACCCTCAACATTTTGTCATTTTCCTCAGGCTTGTTGCTTCATGGTTGCAAGATGGTTGCCATAGCTGCAGACACTACATTCTCATAGGTTTGAAAGCCAGAAGGGAGAAAGAGGTAGGGGAAGAGAGGCAAGATCATCTTTTTTCTAGTGTCACTCTCTCATTTCATCAGGAAAAAGTCCTTCCTAGAAGCTCAGTCCTCTCCCAACTTATTAAACACAGATGGTCGCCTGTCTACATCTAATTCAGAAAAGAAAAGTGGCCAGAATTGGTGCAAAATCATAATGAGTCATCAAATATAGATATTTGGCAACAAAGACAGACTGACCTTGAGTAGGTAAATGGTGGTTGCCAAATCAGGGAATGCTTCTCTGAGGAGGTGACATTTGAACTCAAACTTAAACAATGAGGTAGTGCCAGTCTTGTGTGCCATGTTCCATGATGGTACAATGGAGTAACTGGGTCAAGGTGGTTGGTTATGGAAGGTGAGACAATGGAGGAGACACTTGAAGACAAGGATGAGTCAGCCAGGTGAAGCTCTGGGTAGAGCTGGGTGGAGTCCATTCAGGCTGTAGTTGAGGCCAATGGAAAAGAAAAGGGATATGAACCAATTTGACATCAGGCTAGAGCAAGGTGGACAAGACAGGGCAGATTTTCGAAAATGACTTCAGAGGGGAAGATTCAGCTTCCAACATTACAACATGAGCACAAGGGGAATGTGTGCAAAAGGAGGTGTCCTCAGTTTCAACCTCAGGCTTTGGAGGAGACTTTCCCAAGAGACAGTTGGGTTGAATCATGACTGAGGACAAGGAGTTTGCCAGCACACGAGGAGGGAAGGTTGTCCTAGGACAGTGATGGTGAACCTATGACATGTGTGTCAGTGGTGACATGCGAACTCATTTTTTTGGTTAATTTTTCTTTGTTAAATGGCATTTAAATATATAAAATAAATATCAAAAATATAAGTCTTTTTCTATATGTGACATGGCACCAGAGTTAAGTTAGGGTTTTCCAAAACGCTGACACGCTGAGCTCAAAAGGTTCACCATCACTGTCCTAGGAAGAGGGCACAGCATGCGCAGAGGCCTGGAGACTTGAAACAACATGATGAAAACAGATGTTATCAATGTATATATCACATGTGAGTCAGGGAGTGACTGCTGACCAGACTGGAGCTATGCTCGGGAGCTCTGCTTTATTTAGATGACGCCAGCACTCTCCTTTCAAAAAGCTGAGAGTCCCAGTTAATAAAAGCCACGCTGCTTCTCTGGTTTATGCAGTGTGAGGTTGGGCTTGGGTGAGCTCCAAAAACACTTCCATCTTTTATATTTCCCATCTCTAGTAGATGCTCAATACAAGTTTATTGAGCAAATAAAGTATGAAGGAGCCTCAGCCTTTCCTGTTGCCAAACTTTGCTCATTAATAGGAATTGGGTGTGTCCTTCCAAGCCTGGGCCACCGGCCTCCAGCAGCCTTTCCCTGCTTCAGACTGTCTGCTTCAGCTTTCAGTGGGAAAGACCTTGCAGATTTTTCACATTTATGTTTCTTCTCTTCCCAATAAGATTGTGACCTCTTAGTGGATCACATTTTATGTAAAATAATATTCCCACAAATATACAGCCCCTTAAGTACATGACATTTAATGAAAATACTGTAATGTCCCACCTGATAGACACCCTCGACTGGACCTAGGCCAATAGGTGATTCTCAAATCTCTGGTCACTCCCTAGAAGATCCAGAGCAAGGCATTATGCAAAATGAAGATGAGGGAGCACTGCGAGTAACAACAGGGTGCCTCTCCATGTGTTGCAAGAACTTCTTAGTGAAGGCTTTGAAAAATGCCACACCCTAGATAAAGCTGAGTGCGGTTGGTTTTTGAAATATGGGCTTTGGAAATCCAGAAAGTCTATGAATGCTAAAAAAAAAGAAAAGAATTTGAGTGTTCAAAATTAGAAAGCTATATTACTGTCCATGTTGCCTTCCAAGAGCTTCCTCCTTGTGTCAATAGAGGGTAGGTTATGTTGAGTTAAATAATAGCTCCCAAATTTCAGCAACTAAGAACAATAGTCATTTTTGCTCAGGCCCAACACAGGTCCGCAGGGCCTTCGGTTTATCACAGTGACTGAGGGACCCAGGCTGATGGAGTAGCTACCATGTTGAGTTGCTGGTTACCATGGCAGCACAACCCACCTGACCCCATCTAATCACAAGGAAATTAGGAAACGCAGCACTGCCTTGTGCCTGGAACTGGGGACAGCCAGAAGCAATTAGAGAACCATACTCCCAGATCCTAATGACCAGGACACCAGACAAAGGCAGAGCTCCAGGCATAGGCTCCGGTGTTTTCTGTGTTCCATTTTCAGGTCCGGGCAGATTCCTAGGGATGTTAACAGCCACTGCCAAGTACCGCCACCATAGGCCTGGATCCCTTGCCAAAAAGGGAAGCCTTTGCTGTGTGTGAGAGCTGGTGTGTCACCCAGTGTGTGACTCATTCGTTTTTGGGCCCTGTGCCCCTCCCAGGGCAGAGCTTCTCCCAGGCAGGACTGGTCTGTCAGGCTGCACGGTCCCTGCATACAGGGCTGGCTGCCTGTGCCAGGGCAGTGCCCAGCCTGACTGCCTCAGCCTGGGGATCTGCCATTTGGCGCAGGATTGACTGCTTGGAGATATAGGAACCCAGCCTGCTGATTTGTGACAAGATATGATAAAGGAAAGGCACTGACCCCCCGTCTTCAGCTGCCAGGGATCAGGGCAAATTGGTTGGTGACTTGTTGGCTGGCCACAGTGAGTAGTCCCATGCCTTTCTTTTCCTTCTGATGACGTTCTTCGGAGAAGAATTTCAGAAATGAGAAGCCAATTACGATTTTACAGTTGCAAGGCTTTGTAGTTTGGGGTTTAATAACATACTAAGTGAGTAAATGTTAAAAAAGAATTTGGTAACTTGGAGGCACTTTATAGAATGCAATCAGTACACTAGTCTGGTATGAAAATATTTTTGTTTTCATTGATTACTCTCTGCTCCTCTGACCCTAGCCAAATATGGGAGTCCAGGAGATTGGAATCCTTGAAGGAATTTTCTTTTTCTGATCATCTAAAAATGATGTGCCAATACACAGGTTAATTGACTGTTTATACAATAATTTTTCTCTCTTCTCAAACTTTGTAATGTTTTGTCTACAATTTCGAGTTATTATCAAAGACAGAACCAGACTTACAGTCTCCATGAATACAGAGGAATATTTTTATACCTTCACACATACACACACACACACACACACACACACACACACACAAAACACCTTGCATTTTTCTGTGACTATCCTATGGCATTAAGAATTCATGATCCTATACATTATTTTTCTCAGATCGGTCTTTCTTTAAAGAAATGTAAAGTTTGGGGACATTATTCTTGGTTCATAAGCTTGTCTGTATTGTGTCATTCTTTGTACGGGGGAAGAGAATGCCCAAATATCTATATTTTCATAGTATTCCTTAAAATATTGTTGTAATTGATACTTAACTCTATTCCTTCCTTTCCTGAAGGATTCTTTGTCATTATTTGTTGTGTGTGAATTTCAAAAGTCTGGCTTTGCTTTAAAAACTTTCATCCTTTGAATTTTGACACAATATGTTTTCCTCCCTGAAGTAAACTTACAGATAAAAGAGTGAGACTTTGATTAATCTCACATTATTTTTGGTTTACTGAATTTCCCCTTTCCAAGTTCATTCTTATAGTTTTGGAAAGCTGACTTATTTGTAGCTAAGAGGAATGATTTCAAGTATATTCCTGGGCAAATGATTAGCCTTAAAAGACTGTAAAACTTGTATTTTATATCTTTGGGGATTGTATTCTAAGATCACACAGCCCCAAATCCCTTTTCGACAATATTTGCATAATATAGAGTTACTGCATCATTGTGTTTTTGCAAAATGAATGAAAATTTGTAAACAGAAACCAAGACTCTTCTGCAAAGATAGTGAGAATAGTGAACAGCTGCAAGCCTGGTCTCCCCAAAACTGGACTTGGGGTTGAGGGTAGAATTATTTTGCCCTGGGCCCAGGGGATAATGGGGGGCAGGGTCTACAGAGAATATGTCTAAATATAGCTAAATAAATAGGACCAACTAAAACTCGATCTGCCTTTTATTATCAGCATGCTAATTCTCAACCACATCATTTGTGACACTTCTTGCCATTGGGACAGAGCACGCCCATGGCCCCACTCCTTCCCTTTTTGGTACAGCGCCTGTGTTGCGTGGGATTTGTAGCTTAGCATGTTGTCTCATTATCTTTAATCCCATTATCTTGGGACCTAACGTATTTGTTTCTTTGTGTGTGTTTGTTTTAATGTATTTCTCTTAACATAATCTCCATCTTTCTAGCCAATAAACCCCCCCGGCTTTCTTTTTGTTTAAGGGTTAGGCTATAGAATCTTCTTGCTTCTGTATATCATTCCTGAATCTTTTGATTTCCATGAACAAGCTCATAAGTCACACTACTTTAAGCCCCAAAGGTGATTTTATTATCATGATTTCAGGGTATGCAATACAGGATCCTGCGTGTCACCAGGATCTCTTTTTATGTTTGTCCTGGGTGTATCTGCTTCATTTTGCACTGTCTGTCCTGTCTGTATTTGGGCTGTTCCCCATTACATATTGGGGCTGTTTTCAATTCAGTATGTTAATATCACCTGGGGAGTTTTTTAAAAAGCCAATTCATCCGTAGATATTTACAATTAGTGCAATGTAGGTGAAGGGGTATATAGGCGTCACTGCACTCTTCTTTCAACTTCTCAGTAGTAATGAAATTATTCAAAATACAAAGATTTAGGGAAAAATCTTAGTGTCTGGGCCTTACCCCCAGAAAATCAGATTCAGTGGGCCTGGAGTAAAGTCCAGACTGGTCATTTTTTAAAAAGCTCTTCTGGGAATCCTCATGTGCAAGGTTGGAAATTGCTGCTATGGGATGCTGTCTTTGTCAGCTTCTCTAGAAGAGAGTGGGTCCTTTTTCTTCTTCTTGTCAAAATTTAAAAATTCCTGGAGTGAGGACTGGGGGGCCCAGCTTGGGCCAGCTTCCATCTCCTAACCAGTCAGCAATGGCTGTGTGCACACAACACAAGGTAGATTAGCATTTTCCAGATAAGTGTGGGTGGGGTACGGGGACAGCTAGGCAATAATAATGATATGTTCAGTGAATTCCTCCAACAGAAATGCAAATTGAGTCCTGAACTGCTAAATCTGAGGACATCTGGCCAAATAAGCCAAAGCCATTATTTCTTACTATAGCAATGTTTCAAATTACGTCATAGTTTGAAAAGAATGGAATGGTGGAGAATTATTCTTTGTCAGTTTGAAAGTTGTGTATAGCAAAATACAAATTAAATATATTTGATAACAAAAATGATAACTTTGTCCATATTCATGTGGGCCTTACAAAGTTTATGTAATATATATTAATAAATACCATTAAGGAAGGTCACTCCTAGGCCTAATGTTCCAATTGTAGCAGGTATACACTTAATTCCATAACACATCTGGTCTTTAAAATTTCTCATATCTATAAAGCAATTCTCTGGATCAGTTAGGCTCTGAGTTATTCTACTCCCCACCCCACAGTCTTGCAGGAGATTCTACTGTAGTCTTGTCCTTGAAGGGGCTGCCTCATGCCAAACGTCTGGCAAAAATTCTGAGAGTCCTACGCAGTCTAAAATTGTCTTGTAGTTCGAAGAGAGTGGCACTCTTCTGTACAAGCTTGGGCATAGAGCCTTTTGTGATGGTCCTAATGCCAGGGATCTCAAATTTCCAGTCCTCCTTGCACCCTGAGTCACCCACAGGAGGCCCTGTCACCTCTAGGGGCATTGGGTTGCCAATGACCAGCGCGTCTCTGTGCTTTAGTTGGATAGTTTTGGTGGGGAAAAGAGGAGATGCATAACACTGATGCACAAGGGCTGAATGATGACAAGTTTCCAGCTGGTTCTGAAAAGAGAACTGGGCTTCCAGAAGCAAGAACTGGACTTTGGGAGAGAGAAAGGCTCTGTGATTTCTGAAGGAATCAGAGTAGGAAAAGAGAGGGGAAAGAATGCATGAAGATGGATGAGGAGTTTTCCAAGCCCCTGGGAAGTGGCAGAGACTGAGCCTGGTCCAGACAGTCTCTGCTTATTGAGATATTAAAGAATTGGGGTGATCTCTGTGGACCTGATTAGTAGAGAGGAGAGTGGGGCACAATGGTTTCAGTGTGGGCCAAGTGGGACCAAGCCGTGAGGCCCAAAGGCTAGCACTGATTGTCCATCTCAGCAGAAACTAGTGTAAAGGGAGGCTTAACTTTGCACGCCTCTCTCCCGGTGTTGATGTCAGAATATCATCATTCCCGAGGAGAATGGAAGAGGAGAAGAAAGAGGAAATGCTGAATTGATCAAAAGAGACCTAGTTTAAACTGACGGTCAATGAGTTACCTTGCATGGGAAAAATTACTATCATTGGATCAAATAAGGGCTCCAGTGCCAATTTAATTTAGTTAGAGTGCTAAAAACAGTTACATCTGTGTCACGATTGTTAAATGTGTACTGCTACACATAGGGTCTTTGTGTACTTGTCCCAAGTATAGACTAAGTACCGATTCTTCCTGCACAGATTGATCCAGAGGCCAGCTTCATCCGGCCAGCGTGGCTCAATGGTTGAGCACCGACCTATGAACCAGGAGGTCATGGTTGATTCCCAGTCAGGGCACATGCCCGGGTTGTGGGCACGATCTCCAGTGGGGGATGTGTAAGAGGCATACAATCAATGGCTCTCTCTCATCATTGGTGTTTCTACCTCTTTCTTTCTCCCTTCCTCTCTGAAATAAATAATTTTTTTTTAAAAAAAGGCCAGTTTGCATCCAAAATGCTGGCTGTGCCTGAGAACCTCCATCCCTCTCACCCCAGCCCTGTGTGTCTTCGTCTTCATGACTGCAGTCCTCCTCCTGGAATCTCATGTGGTGAAAACCATTTCAAAACTTACGTGGTGCATAAGTCTCTTCCTGCTCAAGAACCAAATTGCAAACGAAGTGCCCTTTGCATAGACACATTGACACCTTGGCCATTCACTTATTAATTTAACATTGAGAATGAGAGTAAATTAACAATGTTTCACACATTCAAATACTAAGAAAATTTTCCACCAAGAAGTTTTCACTAAAAGAAGTTTGAAAGGATACAGTCCAGCAAGAAGTAAAGTGCATATAGAGAAAAGGTATGAACTACAAGAAAGAATGTGAAGTGTAAGGAACCAAAGGACAAATGATGTCCTTTTCCAATTGATCTGGATGGAACATTTCTTTCAGGTTTAAGAATTAGATAGTTCCTTGTGTTTATATTGTTTTTATTTTTTGTTTTTTGAATATCAACTTGGGGGGCATTTTTCTTTTTCTATTTACATCGGAAAATAATTATTAATGGCTCTTCCATATATATGAGTGATGAATAATTATTTCCACATATATAACATAAGTGAGAGAATACCAAATGTCAAATGAGATAAAGTTCACAAAAATATCATAAAACTATTTCAAAAGTAATCTGAAACTCCAATTTGCGGTCTAATGAAAAGTATGTCTGGTTGAATACATATGCATACTTTAGTTTGGTTATTAAGGCGTTGAGTCAAGAGGTCCACATTATTCATCCCTTTCCTGCCGTGCTCATCAGAGGGAGGCCATTTAAGCTTTCTCACTTTAATATTCTCATTTTGTGAAATGGAATAGAGTTATTACTCATCAATGAACATAATGATGAGGACTTATGCTAC